AATGGCTAATCCGATGGCTAGTCTGGGTTGGGGCATGGATAGATATCTGATCTATGATCTGGTCTATTCCATCTCCAGGGGATTTATGTCTTTGGGGGAATAGAAGGAAGTCTATGGCTAAGCGCTACTCCTCTATTCTCTTGTGTCTAAAAGGGGCTAGATTATATTTATTTCTTCTTCTTCTTCTTCTTCTTCCTATTTAGTCATGTCCAGATCTCTTCATGACTCCTTTTGGGGTTTTCTCGGCAAAGATATTGGAGTGGTTTGCCATTTCCTTCTCCAGCTTATTTCACAGAAGAAGAAACTGAGTCAAACGTGACATGCCCAGGGTCACACAACTAGTAAGTGTCTGAGCCCAGATTTAACTCATGAAGATAAGTCTTCCTGACTTCAGACCCAGCACTCTATCCACTGCACCACCTAGCTGCCTGCCATTTTAAATAATTTGGGCCTATAAAATGAGGGGTTTGAATAGATGACTTCTATGGTACTTTCTAGCTCTAAATTTGTGTGATTAATAATAGCCAATATTTGAATTCACTTTAAGGTTTACAAAGCACTTTACAGACATTACCTCATCTGATTCTTACAACACCGCTGTACCCTGGGTACTAGAGATATAAGGTAAAATGGTAAATATCAATGTTGGGTAAATATCAATGATGGGGTTTGAACCCAAGATACCCATCTCCACTGAAGGACTCTTTCTTCTATACTACACCATCTGCCAAGCTCACATGTTTCTAGCAGCTCGAGGTTTATACTTTCCTCACAATAATCCTGTGATGTTGGAGGTGCATATTACCATCCCCATTTTATAGATGAGGAAACTAAGGTTCAGGAGGAGAAATAAGCTTGCCTAATGTCTCATGACTAGTATAGATTGGAACTGGGATTCAAACCCAGGTCTCTCGACTTCAAGTTTAACACTCCATTATAGCACACTGCCTCCCAGGGACTGCCTTGAGATTTGTTGTTAAAAAAGTGAGACTCAAACTCTAGTCTTAGAATGGGTGACTTCTTTTTGGATGCTGTTACCACTGCCATCAAAGTACAGTAAATATATATGGTTTTGATCTGCCACCAATGTAGATCAGTGACTTGTGTATAAAAGTATTAGAGATTTGGGTCATTAAGAGGTTAAGTAGTTAGATAGCTGGTACTATCCAGAAGCAGGACTTGAACCCAGGGTCAGCCCTGTATCCACTAGGAAATACTGCCTCTCTAAATACATATGTTTTGTGGTGAATAAGTGTGTCCTCAGATGTGTATACTTACTTACTGTGTGACCCTGGGCAAGTCACTTCACCTCTGTTTGCCTTAATCCATTGGAGGAGGAATGGCAAACCACTCTAGTATCTTTGCAAAACAGACAAACAAAACAAACAAAAAACAACCCATGGATGATATTGTTGTGTTATGGTCCACAGGGTCATGAAGAGTTGGGCATGACTGAATGAACAACATATGTGTATATGTATATTCACATGGCTATCAAATCACAGACTCACAGAATCTGAGAGTTGGAAGGAAACTGATTGGCCCTCAGGTACAGCACAAGTGAAAATGGATTTCCACTATCATCCAACAGACAAATGATCATTCGACTGAATGATCCCTTGGAGACCTCTTCAAACAGAAGCTGAAGGAGGATAACTCCCCATCTCTTGAAGTTGACGCTTCCACTTTTGGGTAGATTGTGCCAGACCCTATGCCATAGAATCAGTCAAGACCTTTTATTGTTATTGTCATCTGGGAACTTCTCAAGTGAGAGCACTGCTGTAGTGAATGTAGTTGGGTGCACACAGATAGTCACTTACTTTGCAACTATTAGTCTTAAAAAATTGTCTGAGACATTGAAATGTTAAGTGACTTGCCCAAGGTCATACAGTCAGTTCCTGTCAAAGGGGCCTGAACCTTGGTCTTTTTGATTCCAAATCCAGCTCTCTATTCTTCCTCTTTGAATACCAGGATAATACAATTGTAGATAGAGGACTGGCTTTGACCTTGGGGTCAGGATGACCTGTGTTCCAATCTCATTTCTCACCTAGGACAAGTCACTTAACTTTGTTCTAGTCAGTCCTCTAAGTTGGTGATTTGCAGAATATTTGCTGATTTGAATTGGTAGAGGGAGTTCCTTTATCAGGAGCTCCCTATACTGGACTCCTCCTGTAAAAAAAAAAAATCACAAGAAGCCAGGGTGTCACTTGAAAGAAGACACACCTGAAAGAGATTGATTTCTTGACTGTGTTTTTGGTCACATGCGTACACCTGCTGGGTGAATATCACTCACAAAAGTACACCTCCCTCATTCTCTCAGCTGTCCTTCCCCATTCCCATCCCAGAACTGGCATGGGGCTAGTGTGACTACTCAGAGGCACTGTCTTCTAGCCAGCCGTCTCCTTCAGGGCCCAGCTTAGAATCCAGAGCACTTCAGTTTTTTTATTTTATTTTATTATCCAGCCCCGCTTTCTCTCTAAACCAGCAGATAATCCTCTTCTTCCTATTAGGGGATCATAAGCACAGACTCATAGAATTTTGGGAATTGGACATCTCTCCTTTTTTTTGTGTGTGTTTTTTGTTTTTTGTTTAGGGACAGGCTCTAGTCAAGTCCAAAGTTTAGCTGCTCCTACGCCCTGCGCCTGGCTGTGCTAAGAGACTTTTGAAAGTCTCCAGGCAAATGATCTCTAACTGCTTTGGTCCTCACTCTCTCACCATCCTCACTCCTCCCCGCCCTCCCCCAACTGGGGAGAGGCCCCCAGCCCTGCAGCTGTGACATCCCTCAGGGACTGAAGGAGATATTTCAGAAAGCCCTGGACTCTTCAAAAGATGCCACATAAAGTCAAAATGCAAGAAAAGTTTTTTGTTTAGCATGGTAGTTATAATTTTTGGAATTTCCCAAGGCCCCAGTCAATTCCATGAGGCCTGTGAGGACATGCGTAGAGAAACACCTATAGGAAAGTGAGGGGAGAGAGAAAGGAACTGGGTCTTGGTGTCGCATATGTTTAGAGTTCTCTGACTTTCAGAGGTAAGAGAAGATCACAGCAAGGTTCAAAGTTGGAAAGAGTTATCTAATCTAGTTCAACACTCCCTTCTACAGATGAGGAACACATGTCAAAGAAGGACAGGTTTTTCCCAAGGTTACACAAATAATCATAACTATATCAGCTGACATTTATATATTGCTCTAAGGTTTATAAAAGATCTACTTACATGATCTCATTCATTGGTGCTTCCAATTCCTTGTGAGGGAAGTACTATGCATGTATTATTAACCTTCAATAATGTAATCATCATGGTTATCCATAAGTAGAACAGGCTACCTCCAGAGGTAGTGGGTTCTTCCTTATTGGAGGTTTTCAAGAAGAGCCTGGATAATAATTTGTCAGCTATGCTGTAAGGAAATTTTGTTTTCAAGTGTGTGTTGGGTTAGATGGCTTCTAAATATCCTTCCAATTCTAAAATTCTGTGATTCTGTGATTCAATCCTAATTTTACAGATGAAGAAACTGAAGGGTTAAGGTGTTGTTTCATCCATTTAGACTGGATGGGACCTCCAAAAGACCATCCAGGTCAGCTCCTTCATTTTATAGTTCAGGAAACTTGAGTCCCAGAGGTTGGATGACTTCCTCAAACTCCTACAGGTACTAAGTAGCAGAATTGGGATTTGAATCCAGATGCTGATTCCAAATCTAAAAATTTCCCCGCTGTACTAGACTTGAGCATGGCTACTCAGTTAAGTGTGAAGACAGGGATATTCCTGACTTCAAGTCCAAAGCTGTAGTTACTGTAGTTACAGTTACTAGCTGTAGTAAAAAAAGGGAGAGATTTGAACTGGAATCTTCTGCCTCCAAATCCAGGGCTCTTTATATGGACACCCTGTCTCTTAAGGGATCCACTGAGGAGGGAATTGGCGTAGAGGGTCCTTTCAACTTTGAGATACTTTGACTCCTTGTGAGCTAGCACAATGTTGGGACTACACATGTTGCTGTATTAGACTGAATTTTGGTTACGGAAATAGTACTCTAAATCGTTGAGAGAAGTTGGCTAAGTCACTTTTACTTACCTATGTCTTTATAAAAGATGGAGTTGGCCAATGTCAGGGGTCTACAAATAGAGATATGATAGCACCTATTAAGCTGTAGGAACTGTGCTAAGCAAGGGTTGCAAAGAAAGACAAAACAAAACAAAAAGACAGTCCTTGCTTCCAAGGAGCTCACAGTCTAACGGGAGAGACAACATGCATACAACTATGTATAAATAAACAAGTTACTGGATAAACTGGGGGTGGTCTCAGAGGCAAGGCACTAACATTGAGGACGGGGAAAGGCTTCTTCCAGAAGATGGAACTTGAGCTGAGGCTCAAGAAAGCTAGGGAAATCAGGAGGCAGAGATGAGGAAGGACAGAATTCTAGGCAGTGAAAAACTCAGTCTGTAAGTGAAGCATCGTCTATGAGAAACGGCAAAGAGGCCAGTGTCTCTGCACGGGCAGTTTGTGGGGGGAGTTAAGGTGTAAGAAGACTAGAAAGGCCCGGGTGGGGTGAGGAGGACAGGCTACCAAGGGCTTTGGAGGCCAAACAGGATTTTATATTTGATCCTGGAGGTAATAGGGAGCCACTGGTGTTGTGAAGGGGGAAGATATGGTTAGACCTGAGCCACTGGAGCCCAGGGTCTGTTTTGCGCAAACAGTAGTAACCATAAAAAGGGAACTTTTGGGGGTGGGGGTGGGTGGGTAGGATGCCAAAGAGAACCCAGAGCCTGCGGCTGAGGCTCATTCTGGCTCTGCTTCGCCTCAATTCAAGGATGGTCTGCCCGGAAGCTTCTACAGCAGCCAACACCACCGAGCACCGCGCCCCAGGCTGGAGGAGGGAGGGCGGGTCCCAGGGGAGGCAGGGACAGGGGCCGGGGCAAGGCCGGCCTGCGGGGAGGCGGGTGGGTCACGTGGAGGGGTGAGCTGCGAGCCACACAAGCAGAAGCAGAAGTTCAAATTCTTGAGTGAGGAAGCGGCCGCAGTGGCAGGAGAGCGTCCTGGAGACCGACGGGGAAAGGGGCCGTAGCTGCAGCAACAGCCCGGAGGTGCAGGGGTCCTCGAGGGAGTCCCGGGCGGCAGGCTGGCTGCCCCCCCCCCCCCCCCCGCTCTGTTAATCACCCTGCATACTGCTGCCCGGGGGCAGGGCGTCCTGGCCACAGGTGGTGAGTTTGGCTACTGCCCCTGGGCAGGGGTTGGGTCTAGTAGAAGAGCTGCCCGTCCTGGACGGTGCCAGGAGGGAATGTTATGTATGTACGTAGGCATGTATGTATGTAGGTAGGTAGGTAGACATCCAAGTATGTATGTTTGCGGAGGGGGTGGGTGGCCGCAGAAAGGAACTGACGCCCTCTTCCCCGCCAAGCATCAAAACTGAGTTAGGGGGTGCTGTGCTTTGGGCTGCGCGTCTGGTCCCTACGCCATTCCCCACTCCTAAAGCGTGTGTCTACTTCAGAGAAAGGTTGACTATGGGCTTGCTCGCTCACCCATGCTTCACTGCCTAGACTCGGACAGTTCGAATAGCCTGGACATAGCTGGGTCCTGGGCACCCCCTGGGGGGCAACCACTCCCTCTAGGGGCCGCAGTTTGGGGGAAAAGGGGCATGCCAGCCCCGTTGAGGCGCTACTTGCATTTCGCAAAAGAGGGGAAGGAAGCCGTGCAGCTGTGGGCTGGGTGCTACTGGCCAAGAACACCCAGAGGTGCTCCTCTTTGCCTGTCCCGCTGCGCGGTGCTCCGGAGTGCGGGGGGCGTGAGGGCCAGACAGCTCGGGTCCCTCACCTCTTCTGACTTCCGAGGTCCCTGATTGAGACTCAAGAATCACCTTCCCTTCTCTCCCCCTTCCTTCGTTTAACCCTTAGACTTCCTGCCTTGGAATCTCCCAACCTTCCTCCCCAGGAGTTCGCCCACTCAAGGAGAGCCCTAAACACCTCGATGCGTCTAGAACCTCTTGTGTGGTGATCCCTGCTCTAGCCAGATCTTTGGCTGGCTGCCTTCTTCCTTTTTCTTTCACTTCTCTTTTGATTATTCCAACTCACTTTTCTCACTTTTGTGTGTCCAAATTGTGGTCTTCCCCTTCTTCCAAGCTTGAGTCTGTCTAGGATGCAAGGTTGTGGGTTACCCCCATCCCTCGTAGATAGTGTCTGACATCTCTCTGTACTGAGTCCTCCTCTCCTTCAAGTTACATGGGCACTTATGTATCACAAGGGTATTTTTGCCCAAGTGTCATATGAGTTCTGGAGTATGAAATAATTCAGTTAAACAAATGATATTTGGTGCAATCGGTACTATGTGTGGCACTCGGGAGATACAAAGTTTAGTTGCAAAGTCTAGGACGAGGAGGGAATGGAAAGTACAGCCTGTAGAGTCTGGGGCTGCCTCCTGGAGTAGTTTGAGCAGGAGCTGGTGTGGACAGATCTTCCCACTCTTCTGTGGCTGTGAAGAAGGTAGACCAGAGGACTTGAGTTTCTATACTAAAAAAACACCCCTTCATGACTCTGTCCTGAAATCTCTGTAAAAGTTTTTTTCTCTCTTGATGTTATAAGCAAATGAATAAACACAAAATGGTACAGTTTTACATAGAATCACAAGGTGTAATCAAATTAATGAACAAAGGAGGAAACTACTTTTGCTCGGAGGACTCCTTCAAGTCTGACCAGGTCTGACGATGTCTCTATGTCTCTGCTTGTCACTTGTCAGTGGGGGGAGAGGAGAAGGGAGTAAGCATTTATATCTGGACTACTATGTCTCAGGCACTGTGCTAAGCACTTTTTGTAAATATTATCTCATTTGATCTCTTTTGAAGTGGTGCTATTATTATCCCCATTTTACAGTTGGGGAAAAGGAGGCAGAGGTTAAGTGAGGTGCCCATGAGGTTCGCACAACTAGTAAGTACGTGGAACTAGATTTTGACATAGGCCTTCCTGGCTGTTCACTATGCCACTAGCTGTCTCTAGTCAATATGCATAAAGATTTGGCTCTGCTATTTCCAATTTGCTTCTTTTCCTAGAGTTCTTGCCATATTTCCTTATATGGTTCTTATTCATAATTTTTGATGGCAAAATAATATTCTGTTAAGGCCTCTGGCACTTTGGATGGATGCTCTCTGGTGAAATTATAGGAGGGCACAGACAAGAGTTGCATAGGATGGGGAAGCCATGGATGGGTTGCAATTTGCATCATGGGAGGGAACATCTAAATTGCTGATATCACAGATCATTTTGAGTGTAATGTTTCATTATATCAATATACCATAATTGATTCAGGCTTATTTATTCTTCAAGTTTTAGACAGAGAGGTTGTTAAAAAATTTTTTTCTTGTTATTTCAAATAGAGCAGATCTGACCATTTTTGTACAGCTAGGTCCATTCAATTATTCTTGGGGTGGGGGGAATTCCAAGCAATGGAATTGTTGGGAGTCTTACTGAGTATTGTTCTCCAAAATACAGTTTTCAGTGGGGGTGAGGTGGGAGATCAAGAAATATGTGGAAATAGGTTCTAACACATTAATGCTCAGAGATGTCTAGATTTGGGTTTTAGATTTTAGAAATAGACATTTTCTTTCCCCCGAAGGATTTTATCATTTGACTTGCATAACTATATTCTGGGAAAGGAAAAATACTTCAAAAACAACTTCCAGTATTAAAGGATACGGAGTATTAAACAACTAGAAAATCCCACTGTTTCTTCCATTTATATCCAGGAGAGCTCCTTGTGTTTCATGTCTGTAGGGGTTATTTAGAAGATGAGAGGCAGCAGAGAGTAGTGGAGATACAGCATGGGACTGCAAGTCAGACTTATCTGGATTCTGGCCCCTCCAAAGCTATATGACCTTAAGACATGTAACTCTTCTGCTTTTCAGTTTCCTCATTTACAAAATGAGAATTGTAGAATCATCAATGCAGAGCTGGGAGGGCCAAGAGGTTATCTAGTTCAACCCTGTCATTTTTCAGATGAGAAAACTGAGCCCCAAAGAAGGGAAGAGAAATATTCAGGAGCATACCCTTTGACCCAGCACTTCCACTATTAGGCCTGTTTCCCAAGGTGATCAGGGAAAAAAGAAAAGAACCTTTATGTTCTAAAACATTTATAGCAACTCTCTTTGGCAAAGAACTGGAAATTGAGGAAATACCCATCAATCAAGGAACGGCTGAACGAGTTGTAGTATATGATTGTGATGGAATACTATACTACCATGCTGTAAGAAATGATGAGCTGGTTCATTTTAGAAAAACATGGGAAGACTTCCATGAAATGATGAAAAGTGAAGTGAGCAGAACCAAGAGAATGTTGTATATAGTAACAGTAATAATTGTGAACAACCAAGTTATTCTGAGTACTATAAATACTCAAAACAGCAATAAAGGACCTATGAAGGAAGATGCTATTCACCTCCAGTGAAAGAACTGATAAATAGAAGTATGCATAGTATGGCTTTCCATGTGTTTATAAAATGCATCAAATGGTGGCCTCCTCTAGTGTGGGGTGGGATGCAGAGAGAGGGAGACAGTTCCTAACTTAAAATGTAACAAAAATAAATAAATTTAAAAAAAAGACACACACTTAGGGTCTCAAAAGTAGTAAATGGCAAAAGTGGGATAAGTCCCATCTTCTTTGTCCTTCAAACTATTTTTTACTATGTCCCTCAGTGGGATTGGAAGGAAAGTGCTTTATGTACTTGAAACCAGTGGTTGTTAACCTGGCATCTGTGAATTTGTTAAAAAAATTTTTTTGATAACTGTTTTTCAGTAGAATTAGTTTCCCTTATAATCCTATATATCTTATTTTATGCACTTAAGGACATTTTTCTGAGGAGTCCCTGGGTTTCACTAGACTGCCAAGGGGATCCATGGCATGGAAAAGGTTAAGAATCAATGCTTTAAGTATTAGGATCCTGGAATTTAAAAGTGGAAGGGACCAACCCCTTCATTTTACACATGAGAAAATAGGCCCAGATGAAGTGAATTGTCCAAGGTTTCATTGGTAGTATCACAACAGGATTTGAGCCCAAGCCCTTTGATTTCAAATCTGACACTTTCCACTCTACCATCCAGTGAGTTGCTGTTATTATTATTGTTTTAAGAGTATAGTCTAATCTTCCGCTTGGATCATTGCCAGCTTTGCTACTATGTATCGTCATATGGAAGCAATGAGCAATGAGCTTAGATAGACTTTGGGAGATAGTGGGGGATAGGAGGGCCTGGTGTGCTATGGCCCATGGGATCATGAAGAATCCAACATGACTGAATGAATGAACAACAGCAACATTGTTATGTGATAATTTTTTTTTTGTAGATGACAAAAAGATCTTGCAAATTCAAATTTGCCATATTTTAAAAAAAGACTAAAACCTTATGAAGATGGTTGTTTCTTTGGAACCTTAAAAAGAATCTTGCTTAACAGAAGAGTCAGTGGGAATAGAACCTCAGCCTAATTTTCTGGCGATCTCTGTACAAGAGGTGACAGTTAATTGCTTGTTTGTAGACTCCAAAACACGAGGTAATACTGAGTACCTACAGATTTCCGTGCTCTGGATGGAGTCTGGGCTGACTTCCCTGTAGCCAGAAGGCCTGTTCAGGCTGGTTCCTCACCAGATAATGGTTTAGTTTGCCATCAGACCAGGCTGTGAGTATCATTAAAGAATTAGAGGGATTCTGAGGTGATCTGAACCTTATCTGCCAATTTCTGTCTGGCTTGTTTAAAAGGAGTTTTTATATTAGGTATTTTTGTTTTCTTTCGGCCTCTGACACATACTGGCTGTGTGACCTTGGGCAAATCACTTAAACACTCCATGCTCTAGGCAGTTATAAATTGCAGAGAAGGTGGTGATCTGTTTGTTTGAACTTGGTTGTAGAGAATCAGTAGCCGAGCGTGGAATCTACTGTCTTTGCTCCTTTGCCCTAGCACATCTCTTGCTGGGGTCAGTGCTCTTTGGTAGTGATGATGATCTGATGATCAGAGAGGGCAGGAAGGGATCTGAGGAAGTTCACGGGGATTAGAGCTTGCAGTGTTTTTTGCACCACTTGCTCTGGTTCATTTCCTTTGCCTTTGGATTGGAAAATGATAGAAATCTGTCATTTTTTTAATAGTGAATTTGCCTTGTTAACTGATAGTAACAATAAAAGTAATAATTGGTATTTAAATAGTACTTTATACACGTTAGCCCTTTTGGTTAGGATAGGTCTAGGGCTGGAGCACTCTTACTGGAGGCAGAGGACATGGGTTCCAATTCCATCTCTGACACAACCTGAGTAACCTCTGGCGAGGTACTGCTTGTGGTCCCTGGTTTTCAGTTTTCTCATCTGTAAATGAAGTAGTTGGACAAGACCAGCGATTCTAAACATTTTTTTTTGTGTGTCGTGGACCCCTTTCTCAGAATAGTTTTTTGACAGTATAAAATAAATACATACAGGATTTCAAAGGAAACCAGTTATATTGAAATACAGTCTTCAAAATACTTAACCAAGTTCATGGACCCTGGGTTAATAGGCCTGGTATCCAGATAATCTTTCAGGTCCTTTCTGTCTCTGAATGTCAGAACTTTTTAAGAATTCTGTAAGATTGATCCTATGTGTGTGTATTATTATCCCCATTTTACAGATGAAAAAACTGAAGCTCAGAGAGGTTAATTATCTTGGTCATGATGACATAGAGGAAACCTTTGGAATGTTTTATCTTGGTTCCTTCTTGCTACTGTTAAATTTATTCCCCTTGGCCTGTCACCCCCAGAGACATAGCTTGACAGATCACCCATCCTTCATGTGTAGGAGAGTTAAATCATTCTGTAGTCTCATGACTAAAACTCTGACTGGAGCCTTCTCTGTATCTTCTGGTGGAGGTGACGTTTTAGTTGTTGGGCAGAATTAGTTCCTCTGTTGAGAGAGGCCTCACTGACCTCACTTATCAAAGGATGGTTTTTTTTCTTTTTCCTTTAAAAAAAAAAAGACCGCATAATAAGGGTATTGGCCAAACAACCAGGAACAGAAGCCACGTACAAAACAAGGAGTAAAGTATTACATAAACTTAGCATTTATTAACAAGAAACTAAATGAATTAGCAGACAAGTTCCCCTCCCTCCCTCCCTCCCTCCCTCCAAATGATTTTGTTCTATGCCCCTTACAGGTTGGTCTCTAGGGCTTTTATCAAGGGTTTTCTTCTGAGGCTGCACTGCTGTCAGTGACTGGGAACCTAGTGAAGTGAAAGGCAGGGAGCATTTGAGTTAATAAGTAGTAATTGTGTGCTTTCCATGTAAGCAGCATAGCAGCAACTCAGCCTAATTGTGTAATGTGATTCTTGCTCCCACAGAACTTTTCTTTCCAGTGGGAAGAGAAACATTCTACATGGAGCAATACTATGATCAGGTGCCAGAATGGTGACCAGGATAGTCAGTGCTTAAAAAATGAAAGGGGTTCCTAGAAATGGGCTAAATATAAGGGAGATTCAATTTAATTAAACTAAATTAACTAATTAATAAAACTAGACTGTGGCTTTGGGGTTGATCCATAAATTTCCATAACACTCAGAACTACTTCTTTTATGTCCTGGGAATGCTCATCTTTGGCACCAAATGGCTTCCTTACAGGCTATGACAGGTGCATCTCTCTCTTTTTTTTTTTTTTTTTTTTTTACCATTTGAAGTCTTTACTGTAACGTGGGATCAGGCCTCCACTGCTCCCCACGTCTTGTCCTGTTTCCTCTCTAGTCCACATTTGTTGTTTTCTTGTGATAGATTTTTACTCCCCCCTCCTTTTATAGTTGCATATTTCTATTTCTCTCCCTTCTTTCTTTTCTTTCTCTCCCACTTGGAAAGGAACAGAGTGAACACAGATGGTATTAAATCAATGATTACAGACAGGGGTATTCTGGTAAATGGTTAACAACACTGGGTTGGGGTGTGGGTGGATGTATATATGCACACTTTTAAATTTAATCTGTATTATGAATACTTTTTCAGGTATAGACAATTAGCAAAACACTACTTGGATCTCTTCTTTGTGGCTGATTTCTGAGGTGTTAATACTCACACTGAAAATTTAACAATTTGCTCGAGGAAGGAAATAGGTTAGATTTGGCTCCAGAGCCATTTCAATATGCTGAAGGAGAGATTAGGGACTGAACTTGTGATTTAATTGACATCGGGAACTCCAGGTACTGAACTTGTGATTTCATTGGTACAGGGAGCTCCCAGATGAGGGGACGCCCTCTCCAAAATCAGGTCACTACTTTCTCTAGAACACTGAAAATTTAAGTGACTTATTCCCTGTTAAGTATGTGTTAGTGGTAGGATTTGAACTCAGGTCTTCTTGGCTTTGAGGCTAGCTCTAGTCACTATGGTAACTTCTTTGAGGCCTGAAAAAATTGCTCAAAGGAAAAATAAGCAGCCAATCTAATCAGTTAATCCACCAGTTAACCAACAAACACTTATTGGCTGCTGTAATGGGTCAGGCACTGGGCTAGGTGTTAAAGATACAAAGGCAAAATAGAAAAACTGCTCTTGTGGGAAAAAATATGTTTGCTTTTTTTTGTTGTTGTTGTTGTTTTTGGCTAGGCAATGGGATTAAGTGACTTGCCCAGGGTCACACAGCTAGTAAGTGTTATGTTTCTGAGGCTGGATTTGAACTCAGGTCCTCCTGAAATTGAGCTGGTCTTTGGTGAGGTTGCTTACCGGTTCTGATGGGTCAAATGATTTCATTGGTATAGGAACACCTAGAGAACACTCTCTCTACCAATACAGATGGGCAGGGGCAGCTAGCTAGATGGCACAGTGGGTAGAGCTCTGGCCTTGGAGTCAGGCAGACCTGAATTCAAATGCAGCCTCAGACACTTGATACTTAGTAGCAGTGTGACCCTGGGCAAGTCACTTAACCCCGATTGCCTCACTGAAAAAACAAAAACAAAACAAAAAATACAGATGGGCAACTCTTCCACAACTTATATAACTCAGAGATACTTGCCTGGGATCACTGAGAGGTTAAGGGACTGCCCAGAGGCCACAAAGCCAGGATGTAGCCAAGGCAGGTCTTGCTGAGTCTGAGGCCAGCTCTCTTTTCACTATGTCAAGCTGCTTCTCACAATTAAAATTAAGACACATTAATAAAGGCGAAATTCCCATGGCGATGGCTTGTTGCCTGTCTCAATTCCTAAGCGTATTCTGCATGTTTGTGATAATGAAATAATGTCAGTTCTCTCTGAGACCAGCACCACCCTTCCTGTAGGCGAGTGCTTTAAGTAGCCTAGTCTCTGTAGAGAAGGCTTTTGAAACATTTTCTTTTATCCAGTCAATCAACAAGCATTGATTAGACACCTACTGTATGCCACAGTGCTAGAGATTGGGGATACAAAAACAAAAAGGGAAATGACCTCTACGCTCAAGGTGCTCATATTGTACAAATGTAAAATGATGGATAGTCTCTCTACCTTAGAAACAAACATATAGTTGTCCTAAGAAGTGGCAGGATTATAATGTTTTGTGATTAAGGGGGTTGCTTTGCTTTATTCAAAGTTAGGAGATAATCTTTCTTTCATTGAGGACTGATCCTGCTCCAACCAGCCTACACTACATTGTATTACTGCCTTCTGTCTCACTGGTTAGTTACCCTTAGTTACTCTGCTGAGGATCTGAACCCTGGAAACTTCCGCTATCAGAGAGGGCTATCATCAGTCAAGAAGTGTTTATTTAGTGTCACCTGAGCCCTGGGGATACAAAGAAAGACAAAAGATAAGTTTCTCTTCTAATAGTCTAATGAGGGAGACGACATGCAAACAACTATGTCCAGACAAGATCTATCCAAGGTAAATTGGAAAGAATCAGGTGTGAATGTGAAACATGGGTTTTAGAACCTTAGCCTTAAATCAGGGTCCCGTTAATTTCCCTCTTGTTCCATTAATTTTCCACAAAATTGAATTTGAGAAAAATTACAGAATATAGGGTTATATAAGACAAGTCATAGACTGATTACTGTTTTCCCTCTTCTTTTTCTAGCCTATCAAAGAAGTAGCCTGGTTTCCCTTTATCCTCATTTTGCTCATCTTTGGAAGAATATCATTTAAAATGACCACGAAGATCAACTTAGACACACTTCCTGAATATGAGAAGAGTCAGATCAAGCGGACCCTGGAACTAGGAACTGTCATGACCCTGTTTAGCCTCAGGAAGTCTAACCCTGAGAGGAGGACGGTCCAGGTCATCACAGAGACCAGGCAGGTGGCCTGGAGCAAGACGGCTGACAAGATCGAAGGATTCTGTGAGTATCTGCCCAGAAGGCTGGTCAAATGGGCTCTTGGAATAAGTCCCTCACTTCCCACAAGTTTTGACTAGCCAACTTGCAGGCTGTTTGCTGTTTAGGAACGTGGCCTGAGTCTGACAGAGGAGGAAACTCACCTTGCTGAATGCTTTTCCTTGTCCATTAATGGAGATATATTGGTATTTTATTTGACGCTTCTCATCAGCAACAGTGGCTCATGGTGGAGGGTAGAAGGTCAGTTTGGGTACTCCTGCCTAATGCAAGAAACTGAAAAGAGTTTCAGAACATTGGGTGGCAGGGAGTGGGAAATTTGGGTCAACCTTTTTCGGATGAAAGGAAGGTCTGTTTTGTTTCCTGAGCTGTAACACCAATTCACTTTTTCTTTGAGAAAACTTATGTTAATGGATTTCACTTGATTGAACAAAGCAGTGAATCGTAAGATGATGGGTTTATGGCCAGGAGGAACTCAGTCTAGTCTAACTGCCCAGTGTTTTAAAGATGAAGAAACTGAGGTGAAGAGAGCTTAAGTGACTGCTTTATCATCACATAGGTAGGATTATAGAATTGCAGGTTAAGAGTTGGAAGGGGTCTTAGAGGTCATCGTGTGATATTGGGACACAGTGGCAAGAGCACAGTGACCTGGGCTCAAATTCCACCTCTGACAGCAACTACTTGTGGGACTTTGGGCAAGCCACTTACCCTCTATGAGCCTTAGTTTCTTTATCTGTAAAATATGTAAAATAGATGGCCTCTGAGTTCCTTTCTACCTCTAAGAGCTAGGATCCTAATTCCTACCCTCCCAGGTTAAGTGACTTGCCCAAGGTCACACAGGCAGAGCTGAGATTTGAACCCAGACATTCTGACTCCAATCAAGCGTGCTTTCCACTGTGCCTCTCTAACAAAGAGACACATTTCTCAATTTTCTTCTTATAGTCCACAGTGAAAGATTGTGCGTCCTTACCCTCAGTAGGAAGTGGAGCTTGGGCAATGTTTTTGACTGTGAGTGATCTTCATCCTCCTTGGGTGGTACGGTGGCTAGAGTGCTGGACCTGAAGTCAGGAAGACCTGAGTGCAAATCTTCTCTCTGATACTTAACTAACTTTGCAACCCTAGGCAGCTCACCTAACCTTTTTGGGCCTTCATTTTCCTTATCTGTAGAATGGGGAAAATAATAGCACCTACCTCACAGGGTTGTTGTAAAGATCAGATGAGATAAAATGAGATTACATGTTAAGTGCTTTTCAAACCTTTCAGGGACTTTATAAATGCTAGTTATCATTATTGTTATCATTGTTTCAGTTCACATTTGGACTGGCAGCTGTTGCTGTATTTCTGACTGTCCTCCCGACAGGTTGCAATACTATGGGAACTAGTTTAATAGAGTAAGAGGTCTTAAGGGATTAATTTAGTCAGGCAACAAACCTTTATTAAGCATGTCTTATGTGTCAGGGGCTTCCTTTTTACTTAATTCCTCCTTGATGATCTGTGGGGCAGTGGGGTAGTCCCACAAATATTAAAAGCAGAAGTCCTTTATCTTAAAAGCGTGGTATTTTGTGTGTGTGTGTGTGTGTGTGTGTGTTGGCGGGGGAGGTTTGGTGGACAGGCTGTGTGTGTTGACAGTTGATTTGCTACCTGATTTCATTGACTTGTGTCCTTGTTATGGCATCTTATGGCCTACTCTTGGGGCTGAGCTCCTTTTCCCTGAGTGAGGCTGGTGCTTGGTGATAGACACGTGAGCCAGCTGTAGTGTTGCCACGGCAACCTCTTCAGCTTGGCGGTCCTCCATGGAGCTTGCACTCTGTCTGCATGGGCTTGAGCTCACCTCCATGTCATGGTGAAGTTGCAGGGTAGGCCATCAACAGGAAGTCTCTTGGTTTTGGTTTTGGTTGCTCTTGGCTTGCATTTTCTGGTTGCAAGGTGAAGTGTCCTGGGATCCTGAGGGGGCCCTTCTGGACCAAGTACTGACACTATATAGCCAGAGGGCCTGGGCTTAAATCTCACCTCCGACATCGAATACCTGTGTGCCATTGGGCAGTTCCCTTAATTCCCCTTGCCCTCAGTTTCCTCCATTGTGAAGTGAGTGGAGTTGATTAGTAGATGGCCTCTGAGGCAATGGTGTGTTGGAGCCAGCTTGGATGGTTACAAGAGCCAATTGCAAAATTTTCAGTGGGAGTATTTATACCTTAGAAATCAGCAGATGCTACAAATCAGGGCTTGGTTTATTGTTTTGTCAATTTTTTTATACTTAAGAAAGTGATGGAGAAATGTTAATGATGCAAATAAAACTTAAAGGGGTGTCTCGCCAAGCCAGTTCCTGAACATTTACCAGCACACCCTACTCTGAGTTCTTTTCCAGTGCTTAGATCTATCAACCTGTGAAGCTGTGGTCTTCTGAGGGTGACACGCTGTATTTTGAAAAGGTAATTATGCTGAGGGGTCTGAGAACTTTCACATTTCATCAAGGCTTTGAGTTAGCCTTAATTCAGAACGTTATCACTGTATGTAGGCCTCAGGCAAGCATTTATCGAGCACCTTTGGTGTTCCAGCGTGTGAAAGCAAGGATTTGAACAACGGCTAAAGAAACATGAGGCAATGAAGGACAGAGCCCAGGACCCGGAGTCAGGAGACCTGGGTTTGAGCCCCACCTCTGTCATTATCTATCCCTGTGAGTGACCCTATGCAAATTTCTTAACTTCTTTGGGCCTCAGTTTCCTCATCTGTAAAATGAAGCCCCTGAATTTGATGTACTCTAAATTTCCTTCTAGTTCTGAATTTCTTAATGCACTTGAGAGAAAAGGAGTGTGAAATTTTTATCGGCTTGGCTAAAAATGAATCTCAGGCAGCCCATCCTGGGAAATCCAACCAATTCTTTTAAAACACTGTTCTATTAATGCTTGAAAAATTTCCCTGTAATTTCACATTGACACCCTTCCTGTACAACCCCTAAATGGAATCCTACCTTGTAACAAAAAAGTATAGTTAAACAAAACAAACTAACATACTGACCGTGTTTAGCAGTGCATCACCTCCCTGCTGAGAGAAGGAAAATAGGTTTTACCATCAGTCCTCTGGAGTTGAGATTCTTAGCACCTAAACCTGAGCATACTGGTAGCACTTGGAATTATTCTATTTTCTTTCTCTAGTAATAGCTCCTGATTCCCTGCATCAGGTGGGAAATTTGGCAGGAATAGCATTATTAAAGTCACAGTTAAAAAGACTAAGAAAGCTGCCCCTACATAGACTTCCCCCTTGTTTTTCTAGGGCTTTCAGATTGCTCTTGAGTCTCGTTTTCCTTCCCTGAAGTTGGGGTGCTGCACCTTGCTTTCCTGGGGCAAGCTCTGAAACTTGCTGCTTTCTCCATTGTGAGACAAAATACTTCCCTCTTTATGGAATGAGAGCCACTGTTTCTTTAAGTGTGTGAGTGGGGGAGGGGAGATTTTCCTTCTGTATCTAAAACCCCACAGTTTAGGGTGGTGTGGGGTGTTGAAGAGGAAACATAGCTTGTAGTTTTTCAGCCTCTCACTACTGTATCTGGAATAGATGTGTTTCAGCCAAGTTGACTGTAAAGTGAAAATCCAAATATTGACCTCCATTTTCCATTTGATTCTTACCTGAAATAGGAGAGGTGTTATAGTTTCCCTTGCTGTGTTCCAGCTGTGTGCCTCCCCCTCTCCACACCTCCCTCCTCCCACACAGCTGGACCTGACAGAGTAGAGCACCAGAGTCTTTTAAGGACAAGGCACAGTATTCTCTGGTTGTGGGACCCAAAGGAATGGAGTGGGGCTGCCAGTTTAGCTGGCACTGACATAAATGAGTTTCCTCTGCAAACTGGCCTCTGATAGGATCAGAGATTTAAAGTTGGGAGGGACCTTAGAGGTTACTAAGTCCGACCCCCTTATTTTACAGATGAGGAGACTGAGACTCAAGAGAAGTTAAGTGGCTTGCCCAAGGTTACACAGGTTACACAGCTAGTAAGTGTCTAAGGCAGGATTCAAGCTCAGGCTTTCCTGGTTTCAAGTCGGTCTGGCACACAATAAACACTAAATAAATGCTTAATGACTGAGTGACTACACCAGCCTTCCTTTGCCTTGTCCTGAGGCTCAGGTGGCCAGAGGTGACAAAATCTCTTCTGTACTCTAGTTTTAGTCGGATGCAGTGGCTCCTTTTCCTGATGGACTGATGCCACCTTAGTCTCGAGTCTGGTCTTCAAGTTGAACATTAGAAGAGGGAATTGTGGCTAAGGAGAAACAGAAGCAGGATTTTGGTGTGTCTCATCTCCAGGACTGGGTGAGACTGATACAGAAAGAGCCATTCATGGGCACCAGTCATGGGATGGCTCAGTCCATCATACATATGTCCATGTGTAACTAAGTCACATAAACAGGTTCAGTGGGAACTTGCCAGAGCTGACTGACGAGTTTTGTTGAGAACGTGATATTTACATTTTATACAAAGCAGGTCCACAGTAGTCCCTTTAGTGAGTGGGGGCATTATGTTTTTAAATAATATTTTATTTCTCCCCAATTACATGTAAAAACAATTTTTAACATTTTTTAAAAGTTTTGAGTTTCAAATTATATCCCTCTTTCCCTGCCCTCTCCCCTCCTTGAGATGGCAAGCAATCTAATTTATACATGTGTAATTATGTAAAACATTTCCATATTAGTGATTTTGTGTGAGAAAACTCAAACAAAAAAGGAAGAAAGTGAAAAATAGTATGCTTCTGTCTGTATTCAGACGACATCAGTTCTTTCTCTGGAGACATATAGTATTTTTCATCACGAGTCCTTTGGGATTGTCTTGGATCATTGTATTGCTGAGAATAGCTAAGTCATTGATAGTTTTTTATTGTACAGTATTGCTGTTACTGTGTACAATGTTTTCCTGGTTTACTTCGCATCAGTTCATGTAAGTCTTTCCAGTTTTTTTCTGAAATCATCCTGTTTGTCATTTCTTATAGCACAATAATATTACCTTACAATCCTATGCCACAACTTGTT